TATTGTTGTTGTTGTTGTTAAGTTCCATTGAGTTGGTTCCGACCCATAGTGACCCTGTATAAGATTTCCAAGAAGCATGCAATATATGGGTCCACAATCCTCAGCATGTGAATTGAAGTCTTATTGAGCTTAACAAAGGTGCCATTGAAGATCTGGCAAAGGCAAAGAAGCTTCAACACCTTCGAACCTTTGGGCTCACACCATTGATACCTCTGATCCTGATAACAAATGCCGGCTTGGGCTCACCAGGTCCATAGAAGTTGCCCGCTTTTCTTACCATCCTAGCCATTCGAATTGTAGTTCTGTCCATCTGCCTATATTCCTTGTGATCATGCTTGGCTTTTTATACATAAGCTTCCTCCTTGCTTTTTGAAGCATCTTTTGGGAAAACTTCTTTCTCAGGTGCCTGATCTTTAGTTCTGCAAAATTCATTCGCTTTTTCTTCAGGGTCTCTGGCACAGCAGAAACCTTCTTTTCCTTCTCTTCGACACCTTCCATGACTCCAGCCAGTTAAAAAAAAAAAAAAAAAAAAGGAAGCTTCATGAACTTTTGACGCTCCTTCATAGCCTGAGAGTTAGATTTTGTTCAAAACTAGTGCAGTGTGTCACCTTTAATTAATGTAGCCATATTAAAAAGTTTTGTAGAAGCAAAGTTCTCTCCTATTGTAAATCTTACTGTCCATAGCTCCTAAGCAGTGAGAGGAACATTGTATAGGTATATAAAGATGCTAAGTAAGCTAAAGAGATTCATCCACTTTGTTATCTAATAGTTTAATAAAAAACTAGTGCCAGTATGGGGTACGAATCATTGTTGTTGTTGTTAGGTGCCATTGAGTCAGTACTGACTCATAGCGACCCTATGCACAACAGAACAACACACTGCCTGGTCCTGGGCCAACCTCACAATTGTTGCCACGCTTGAGCCCATTGATGCTGCCACTTTGCCAATCCATCTCGCTGGGGGTCTTCCTCTTTTCTCTGACCCTTCACCTTACCAAACATGGTATCTTTCTTCAGGTTAAAAAAGATTTTTAGTAATGTCTTAAATGCTGAAGCAAGTCTGTGACAGTCTTTTAGATTTAATGTATCCTAAAGATGAGGCTTTCTGCTCTTGTAAAGATTTATAGCCTCAGAAACTCTGTACAGGGTTGCTATGAGCCAGAACCGACCCCAGAGCACATAACCACCACCACAACAATGTGGATTAGTGCATCGGACTGCAGAGTCATTTGAACTGCAATTTCGGTGGTTCAAGCTCACCCAGGAAACCTTGTACAGAGTCACTGAGGGTCGGAATCAACTCCACGGCACTTCACAACAACAACATTTAGCACTCTGTCCTTTTAAGGAAAGATACTTAATGGGAAATTAATAAAAATCAGGTGTATATTTTCTACCTTGATGAGAACAAACAAAACCAGTGTGTAGTATACATTTCTCTCTCTTTTTTTAAGCAGACTGTGATTGAGACCATGTTAGTCCTGGCCATACTGGATAAGGGGAAGAGAAGAATTATATAAGAGAGAAAAGAATTACACGAAAGAGAACAACTGTAATTTAGTGTAGTTTTTCATGTCAATATACCGTAAAATGAATGATTGTCTGATGAATGTATTACTATGTTTAACATGTAGAAAACCCTCTTGTTTAGTTTGCTATGCCCATCACTTAGCCATTGTGCTCGGAGCAACTGCAGACATCAACATTGCCTTCCTTCAAGGAAATGAGCACTGCACATTCTGAAAGATTCTCTGTTGCTGTCGTTAAGTGCCTTCGAGTCAGTTCTGACTCACAGTGACCCTGAATAGGGTTTCCAAGGAGTGGTTAGTGGATTTGAACCACTGACCTTGCAGTTCAAACCAACCTTGTGGTTCCTTGCACTGTCTGAAGCTTCACACCAGGACTTCCAAATTGCAGTTTGGAAAATGATAGTGTTTAGTACCATCAAGTAGATTCTGACTCATTGCCCCTTTATGCAGGGTTTCTGAGGAGCAACTAGTTTGGAAATTATTGTTAAATGTCATCGAGTCGATTCTGACCCATAGCAACCCAGTGTAGTGTTTGAACCTCGTGGTTCAAGCGACTTTGCAGTCCAGCGCATCAGCCCACAGCACCACACCAGGACTCGAGTTTGGAAAATGGGGTAAATTATTACTTGCAAAGCTGAATTGAATTCAAGAAGAAATGCTGGGCACAGAAACCCCTCGTTTCTAATCCTTATGCAACTATCAAACAGAAATCAAATGCTTACAGTTCAGTGATAAAAAGAAACAATACATATTTTCCCCTGCCCTGTGATTTTCTTTCTGGGTGATGAGTGCAGACCTGAGACCCACAGAGCAGTCTCAACCTTGCCTTGCCAGGTGACAGTAGTAGACTTTAGGCTTTTGTGGCTTTAATTGAAAAACAATCTGCACGAAGATTCTCAGGCTTAGTGTTCCAAGATACAGACACTGTGTCTTATTTTCCTTTCTGTCTCTAGGGCCAAGAATAT